GGGCCCGCCGCGGGGCCCCCCGCCGCCGCCGCCGCCACCGCCGCCTGCGTCTCCGCCACCGCCCAGGGGGCTAGGGCCGCCTGTTGCTGGCGGAGCAGCGGCGGGGGCGGGCATGCCGGGTGGCGGCGGCTGCGGGCCCGCGGCGGCGCTGCGCGAGCAGGAGCGAGTGTACGAGTGGTTTGGGCTGGTGCTGGGCTCGGCGCAGCGCCTGGAGTTCATGTGCGGGCTGCTGGACCTGTGCAACCCGCTGGAGCTGCGCTTCCTCGGCTCGTGCCTGGAGGACCTGGCGCGAAAGGACTACCACTACCTGCGCGACTCAGAGGCCAAGGCCAACGGCCTCTCGGACCCGGGGCCGCTGGCCGATTTCCGAGAGCCGGCCGTGCGCTCGCGCCTCATCGTCTACCTGGCGCTGCTGGGCTCGGAGAACCGTGAGGCCGCCGGCCGCCTGCACCGCCTCCTGCCCCAGGTGGACTCGGTGCTCAAGAGCCTGCGCGCGGTTCGGGGTGAGGGTTCGCGGGGAGGCGCGGAGGACGAGCCCGGCGAGCGCCGGGAGGACGGCGAAGGCGAGGAGGACGCGGAGAAGGACGGTTCCGGCCCGGAAGGCAGCGGCGCCGAGCCCCGGCCCGGCGGCGGGCTGGGCTTCAGGGCGCAGGAGGAACTGCTGCTGCTCTTCACCATGGCTTCGCTGCACCCGGCGTTCTCCTTCCACCAGCGGGTCACCCTGAGGGAGCACTTGGAGAGGCTCCGCACTGCGCTCCGCGGGGGCCCCGAGGACGCAGAGGTGGAGGTGGAGCCGTGCAACTTTGCCAGCCCCCGGGCCCAGGTAAGGCGCGCGAGCCTCCCAGCACCCGCGCTGCGGTCACCGCCCCGGCGGCCTCCCTGGCCTGGCTTTCGGACGCCCCTTGGCCGAGCCTCAGCCCGGGGCAGGTGGCTCGGAATCCCCACCCCACAGCCCCCAGCCCCGTTAATACTAATTTTCGTTCTGCTGGGCGGTTCAGTTCCACTCTCCCACCCTCACCGCCTCCCCCCCCCATGCACACTCAGGCACCCGCCATAACAGAATGCTCTAGAAGTCTCTTCCGTGCCGGAGTTGCCACGGAAAACATGGAGCTCTCAGCCTGGTCCCCCTCTCGGAGGAAGGGTCTCGGGACATTTTTGGCTCGGAGCATCTGTCGCCCTGGGTGGTGGGAAAGGCGCAGCGCTAGAGGTGACTGTGTTAGCCTCAGTCTAGCCCCGGGCAGCGCCTTCTCTTTCTCGCCATCTGGCGCTCTGGTTGCAGTTTTGAAGCTCTGCCTTCTCCCCTCGCTGAGGTGTTCTAAAGGTGCGCTCTCGGCGTGCTGCCCTTGTCTTCAGCACAAAGGGGCTGGCTCTTTCTACTCAGTGAATGCCCGAGTTTTATTAAAAGGGGTCGCAGGGCTTTTGGCTCTTGCTGCTAACTTGGTGTTCCCAGAAAAAAACCTGATGTGGAGAGCGGCGAATTGACTCAGACTAGGTATCAGTAGCGCAGGTTGTCTGGGTCAAGAAACCTCTCCTGGAGCGGGCTGCTTACACCTTTTACTTCTGGCATAACTTATTTTCTGTCTATTGAGTCTTGCCTACAGATTTGAGTCCGGGGGTATTTGTTGGGCCTTTAATGTAGGCATAAATGTTGTTTTCTAAAAGTTGTTAAACCGAAATGTAGTAGACAAGAATCCAGATGAGTCACTTGTCTCAAACATGAAGGTGAAATTTTATAGAGCCGTGAAATCAATTTAATAATAATCTAGGCCCAGTATAAAAGTCCTTGATTGTAATAATTTAATGGAGGAGAGGAGAGTAGGTTTCAGAGTAAAAGCTAGGTACAGTAAGTTTATTTTCGGGGTTTACAGTCTTAAAAGGTACTAGTTTGGTTGCCATACTTTTCAACGTAGATGATCTCCAGGATGATATATTGGAAAGGGGGATTTTTTTTTTCTCCTTCCTTTCTTGAAAGTTAATTCAACTTATGTATCTGCTGTCATTCAATACTCTGGAACTAAAACTGGGCATGTATTTCTCCAAAGGCTGTGTGGACTCAATACCCATTGAATCAAGGAATTTGGGGGCTGGAAGGGATTTAGCGATAAACTAGGCTGAGCCCCTCCTTTTTAAAACGAGGCTTCTGTGAAGTGACTAACTCACATTTTAGGACATGTTTTATCAGACTCCAGTGTAGTAATGCTAGTATCCAGTATTTTTTGGGGAAGCTTCAAATTTTGTCTTCCAGTGTCTATTTACTACTAATATGCAGCTGTGTATACTGTTGGTAAAAGCCCTTTTCCACTCAGCCTATTTACTGAAATAATTACAAAAAGTCCTATAAGCCACTTATTTTTGGAGAAGAAAGCCTGAAATCAGGGGCAATACTTTTAAAAAATTTTTTATATATTGTAAAGATGATCTTAGATTGTAGGTATATGAAAATGCCACACAGTGGAACAGTTTTATTCCATTCATATCATTCCAACAAGGGTAACCGATTTCTGATTTTAACTGCTAGGAGTCTTCCCCCTCCCCCATTAAATTTTGCTTGTAATGAGAGGGTCGGAAGGCGACTAGAGAAAGGGAGAAATGCGTGCAAACTAGAGTAAAGAGATTTTCATCTTGACTGCAGTGTGTGGCCTTTTCTGGCAACCGGTGAGTGCTGGGAGGAGTGGGCAAAGTGAGGTTGGGCATCCTGCCATTAATTTCGGCACATCGTTACTTCTCAGGCAGTGCCCTGTGCTGAGGCCATCAGTTGAAGTGGGAGAATAAATCATACGGGATACACGTACTACAGGTGACGCCGACGGCTATTTTTAGACACTGGTGGCGTGATGAACTTTTTCCTCGGGTACCTTAGGGTTACCGTAACAAATCATTCACGTCTCATTAAATTGTTCTGACCCCGCACTTTCTGCTTGTTAGCCTGGACTCTGAGGCCCTCAGCTGTGACTTGTTCTGGCCTTGAAGACATTTCCGCGGATCTTGTTGCTCCCAAGCTGTCACTCCAAAGGCAGCTGATGGGGGTGGATGGAGTTGCATCTCGATTCGCTGCAGTCCAGACCAGCTGATGCTCGGCCTTGCGCCGCCGGTACGCTCCCGGTGGGGTAGGACCCACCTCGGAGTCTGCAGGGAGGTGCACGAGTCTGGCACGTTCCTCGCGTGGACGCGACGCAGCGCGTCGGTGGGCCCCCCCGTTCACGTGCCGCACGCCTCGGACAGGCCGACGCATTCGGGGAACCGTCCCTCGGGGCTCCTCCTCTCCCCTCCCCCCTCCCTGCAAGATGGCGGCCGCGGTCGCCCACGTGACTGGCGCGTCGGCCCCGCCCCTGGGAGGGCGGGCTGAGGCGGGGCCGCGCCTCCCGAGGTTCTCCTTTAGGCCTCCGCGGGCTAGGCCCCCACGCGGGGCAGAGCGGAGAACCACGTGGACGGTGGACCCAGGACGGCAGGGGGAGTGCGTGTGGCAGCCCTTTATTGCCCCGGAAGTAACCTTTTAGACACACGTGTGTAATTTTCGGCTAGTAATTATTCCATTTTTCACTACTTTAATCCATACTAAACGCATAAAGTGGACCGTAATTTCCTTTTCCATTAGAATAAAAGTATAGTATCCCCGAATAGTGTTTCTGGCTCTTTCAAGACTCGTATTCGTTACCTAATATGCAGCAGCTTCTCTTTTAAAGTTTTCTGTAAAAAACTAGTAATGTTTACAGAGAGAACATGTGTTTTAACGCGAATTTTATGTTAATTATATGCTTTCAAGTTGACCAGTCCCAGCAGCTGTTTAGTGACCTACCATGGTTACCGCGGACTAAGAGTTGAGAGGGCAAGTCCACAAACTTACCACTAGAATATACTAATTAGGTCATTTTAGAAAAACGAAGGAAAATTCAAGTAGATTTTTACATTTAAAATAATATTTCTCGAGTTTTTTAAATGAGATTTGGATAATGTTATGTGATTTAGAAGAAATGTTACATTGGATTACAACTTAAATACTGCCTTTGGGAGACTTGTGCGTAAAGTTCATCTTCTTCAACTGCTGTGGACTGCCAGTCACTTCTATAAGATTCAACATACAATATGCATTAACAGTGTCCTGGGAAATTTGTGTGATTGATGTAGTTTGCTGTGTTACTAAAGTTACAGACTGCCTATATAGCGTAGCTGAAAAAAAATTGGTTTTAAAGGGGGTCCCTTATTAGGAACCCGAACCGTAAATGGCTTGTTAGCAATAGCGACAAAAAACTGCTTAAGTATTTTAAAAGATGCTAGTTTTGTCGCTGTTTCATTGAAAAGAGAAAGACAGCCAAGCTTCCTATCTTTGCATGCTTAAAGACTCTCCTAACTGCTCATGCAAATGGATATTCTAATTTGGGGGGGGTTTAACCCCCCAATTAGCAACACAAAGGCCGAAAAAAAAGCATAAAATGCATAGACTATCACAGTAGTAGTTAGTGGTTAATATTGTGTGGCGGTGTTTCTCTGGAGATCGTGTTTTCAGTATCCTCAAAACATAGTTGCTTGGCAAATAGCTTGAATAAAACAGAAACTGCAAACTTTAGATAGTATTTAGTGTGGTAGATAGTATTTAGTGTTATTTGAATTTGCAAGAAACATACCTGAACTCAAAAAAAAAATTAAGTGGCCATGCGTCTTACAAAAATCAATGAAGATAACAAAAAATTGTTACTTTCTCATAGCATAGGTTAATTAATACGGTACTTGACAGAGTCAGTATCTCAACTCATTTTGATAGTACAGATAATGTACTGGTAGTGTTGGGGCCTGGAAAAAAAAGAGTTTTAACATAAATGCTCCTACTCTAAGATAACTCGAATGTGTACGTGGCAGCACTAATCCTGGTGAGAGCACTGACTGGAAATGAGAGGGGAGAGGTCAGTGGTCAGGATTCCTGTTATTCTATTGGGCACTAAAAAGATGCTTTCTAAAAGTGATTTTTAAGAAGAACGACTCTAAACTCCCAGGCAATAAATACCTTTATTTAATCGTTGGCCACCGCTGGGAGATTTTAAACTGAATAGTATCACTTGAGCAGTGGGCGCTGAGAAGGCTTTCCTCCCTCCTACGGTGGGGATAATAACAGTACTTATGTGAGATTGTTAGGATCAAATGAACGAGTACTTGTAGAATGATGTATGGCACACGATCTTCGATAAATGTTAGCAATTATAAGTAAAAGTTAAAAGTCTTGTCTGGAAGATAGCGGTAGAGGCATGGGAATAGCATCACACAAATTACCAGTGGGGGAGAGAACCAGCCGTATCTTTTATGGGAAATTGTAGGTGGGTTTGGCTGCAGCAAAGTATAAGACCAGTTCAGTCAATAAACGCCGTTTGGAAGAGGCTTTTAGAATATCAGAGTTAGTGATTGTTATAGTAGCAAATGGGAGCTACTGGCACCCTTCTCCAGTTACTTCTGTTTTCCTGTGTAGTGATTTTTTCAGGTAAGAACTCAAGGAAAGTCTTAACTTAGACCACAATAGGAGGAGAGGGTGGTGGAGATGGAGAGGAAGAAACTACTTATGCTCACATCAACTAGTGTGATATATATATATAAATATATATGTATACACACACCTTTTGTTTGTACTACCTTTTATGATTTTTTTTGTGGGGGAGGGGACAGGAAGTATGCTGTAGAGACGACCAAAAGCCTTGAAGAGTGACAGCCTGTTTAGCAGTAGACTTGACTTGCAGTCCTGCTCTGCCACTCGCTCTGTGACATTAACCAGGCTATTTAAGTCCCTGAGCCTCAATCTGCAAAATGGGGATAATTTTCTTTTGAGGTTGTGATTGAATT